CCCTACACATCCCCCAGATTTATTGCTACTGCCAGAAATGGGATAACGGGCTACCTGGCCCTCTAGTCTGACCCAGTAAGGCTGTTCTTATGTATTCTCGCCTCTGTCAGATGAGGCCAAGATCAGCCACTATGTCAAATGTTATTTGGAAAGGGAAGAGGGAAAAGGGAGAAAACAACCTATAGCCCCCAGCAGCTTTGCAAGGAATTAACTTGAGTTCAACCAGCCTTCTAGTTTCAGTTTAGCTCTCGGGGTGCCAGGCTGGCTTTCCAAATCGAATGGAACACGTACACATACATCTCAGTACCATGTTCCCAAATACTGTGGGAAGGTTTACTACGTCAGACACAGTGCTCTGCAATGCACCTAACCAGTTCAACTCCTGTATCGCATCCAGCTTGCGACATAGTGCCCTGAAGAATGCAAACCAGAAAGCTCAGTCTTTTAGACATCTCCACGCTGTGCTCCCTTATCATTGCAGAAGGAGAGTTTACTGAGCTGGATCCATGCATTCACACAGTGCTATGACTGACCTCCTGAGCCTCCTATAGCAGGCATCCTAAGGCACAGAGTGCTTCAGACTAGCAAGGCCAAGGCCAGTAAGTGTAGCTGGACCCAAGCTGTCCGAGTTCTAAGGCAGCAGTACAGAGCTCTGTGAAAGCGAATAAACTCTGTTGTAATAAAACTATTGATACCATGGATACAGAGATAACAAGCGACCTGGATAATCTGAACAGGTAACTATGAATTTCTTGCAATTATGCAACCACTAAAACCTTTCTGAGCTTTCCTCAATTCACTTCAATGCTCCTGAATCTCAGCTACAAAACCAAGCAGTCAGTGTCTCACCAGTCAGCGTAGCACTGAATAAAAACTATACACTCCATGCACTGGGATTGTTTCAGTCCAGCTCCGCTCACTGCATTTACATCCTGTTCCCGTGAACGAGCGGCCTTGAGCTGCATCGCTTCGCACCTGCCGATGTCCCTGCCGCCACCAACACTCCCCCCCGCCAAACAGGTCCTGCCTGGGGCCGCCGCCCCTCT